GGTTATCAACCACAGGTCCAGAGCCATTTAGCCCTTCACCTCAAGGTTATGGGTGATGTCCAATGCAATACAGAAGTTCAAAGCCAGTAAACAATTCAAAAACAGTATGCACTTTCTTTTCCTGATTAAGATTAGGACAAGAATTTGAGATTAAAATGCCATTCTCCATACCACAGTCTCATCTAGACATTGTTTTCCCAACTTTTGTTTTTCCCCTCTTCGAGATCAAGGACAATTTCATACAGCCCAGTTCCACCACTCTCACACATGGAAGACTTTTCGAAGAAAACAATGTTCTCACTCCTTTACACACACGTCAGCTCATTTTAAAATTCGCTTTAGGGTTATGGTGATAAAATATTCCCAAACATTACTGATACTAAAAATAATTTTAAAATGGTTCGTCCAGACATGTGTGGTCTGAAATAAACAATATATTTTTAATTCTTAGAACATAACAAGTTATCGTCTTGTGTGTATTTTACAGCTGAGAACAAAGGCGTGATATGTACAGTGAATTACTAAAAGCATTATTTTTCCTCTTTTTAATCCATTGAAATTTAGATTTAAATGAGCTTTGGTCTGCATGTTTATTCACCAGTGTGAACATTGTGCTTTGGAAGATAGTGAAGGATTAGAAAAAATAGGCGAGTAACTTGCACAGTAGATTTTGATTGTAAAATTTAGATTAGATAAAACAATACACAGTAATGTAACACCAGAATAAAAATATAAATTTTCCATTTTTTTATTTCCTTGTGCACTGTTCCATTGTATACATGCAACCAAATACTTTCGCGTATTAAAAGAAAACTGTATATACATATAGATGATAGATATTGAAAACAGTGATGTAATACAAAGATATTGCATTTTGTGAACTGTGTAAAAAGAAATTACATCCATTTGGTAAGCTGATTGTTCAAAAATAATTATCAACAATTTGTTGCTCATGTAGAGAAAAAAAGGCACCCTCTCACCCCAAAGGAAAAAAATATGTAAAAAATGTATTAAAACAAAATAGGTAATGTTTTTTTATTTACAAGTCTTGTAAAACACTGTTCCTGTATGAAATATACATTCACGTACTCTCAACAGCAAATCACCTTAACGATAGAATATCGTATCCTTTGTAAACTGATATAGAATTTTAAATATTTTTTTAAATTGCATTTTTCTCGCTTTGGTTCCTGCAGGACAATATATATATTTTTATATATATATATATATATGTATATGTTTAAAATAACTTCAAACAACTATCCATTCTTTGTATATGTCGCCTGAGGGACGAAGTAGAGCTCATGACATTTAAAGTAGACAACAACATATGAAAACAAAATTACCATATTTACATTGTTCGGCTTCTGAATAAATTCCTTACAAGCAACCTTCTAAAGAAATAGAAGATTAAATTAGTTTGGTGATTCAAATGTTAGTGCATTGTACAAATCCAAGTTACATTTCAGTGTTGTGTGGTATTTACCAAACTCTCGTTCTCCACAGGTATTTCCTGAAGAAAGTTTGTGAGCCAGAAGCCAGAAGATTAGTTTTCTATTGATTTTTTTCTTTTAAAACTTTGGAATTCATTTTGCAATCTTTTAAACGTTTAAATGTGGGATCATGATTAGTTTGTAAAAGGATGGCAAGGTATAGACAGTTGTTATAAATAAATCGAGAGCTAATATGACAACTGCTCAACATTTTATTTTCAGTGATTGTTTCTTTACGATATATGGCAAATTTATGCCTGACATATTTTTAAAGTAAATAATCAAGTCTTTCATATCACACACACCCCCGCACCCAATAAAACACGATTATATCCATCACTTCGTCTGTACTATAACTTTCTTGATTGACCTTGTAAAGGAATATGTATTTATTTTTATTTAAATCAATTAATCATGGAGCTCTGCTCTAACAGAGACATTCTCTTCCGAAGGAAAAAAATATTATTTTGCGAAGCTTTGTTTTGCAGTGGTCCTCAGCACGTAAACTCGACCTGTAATTTCCACACACACATTCCACAGTAAAACAAGGGAACAAGATCAACAATAGTTAAACACTGAATAGGCAAAGGTTCACTTCCCACTTTTAATTACTGAAACCAGAACAGAACGAGCGGAAGTGTCTGTAAAGGTAAGAGGTATGAATTTTGCACTCAGAACAAAGATTGTGGCTGGCCTGTTGGCGCTAGATGCCATGTGGGTCAGCATCAAATCAATTCCAGTTGATACGTAAATATCAAAAATTAAAATATTAAAAGTCCAGAGTTGATTTACATGTATGTAAAATCATAGGTCTCATAGTCCCGTCAGTTACACACCTCCTTCTTAAATGTAACCCTGTGGCTTGACCTTGTCAAGGGAGAAATCTGAATTTAATCTCATTTTGAAAAACGCTATGAGTTTTAAAGCAGTGGATTAGCTGAGTAATATTGTAATCGGTCCCTGTTAATTTTTTTTCTTTCATTCTTCTGTTTTGAAACCATATTTTTACTTGACGGTCGGTCAAATTGAGCATTCGGGAAAGCTGGAGGCGTTTCTCTTTGTTTATATAGACACTGAAGAAGAATTCTCTTTCTAATTCTCTAATCTGATATTTGGTGTATGGACATCTCTTTTTACGGGTACGTTGTCCACCTGTGGAATGAAAAAAGGCAGAAGTGTTTGAAACTTGGTACTGGGAAAAGCTCAGTCAAGGGGCAAATCTGTAAAGTGTTTTGCCTACTCCATGGGTATAACGGTTAAGTCCTATTCTACAGGCTAGCTCTTTACCTTATCGAGCTTTCTATGGGGAAAGGGTACAGAAAACGCAGAGCCCACATTTCTTCATGTGAAAAAGCAATGATGGCAAACAACGTGTCACTTCGGCAAGGTGGACAGGCATAACACAGAACAAGTATTAGAGTACCTGCCTCATTGTTTGTGCCTGCACTTTTCAAAAGCTATATGCGATGCTTGGTACCGTGGTGTGACAGACTAAACAAACAGCTGCACATAGACATTTCTGTTTTAATCACCTGGTTCACTTCAGCTGACATTATGTTATCAGGGTTAGTAAACACATTTGCAACCCCAATCTTTCTCCAGACCATTACAATTGATTTTTATTCTGTCCACAGATACTGGCTTTACATTTCCATGAATGTGTTCCCCCCCCTTTCTTTTTAATCAGAGGAAATGGCACTGCGTCTAAGGCTGCTATTAAATCATTGCATTCTGATTGACTCCGCTGTTTTTTAAAATGCAGGTATATAGTTATAATAGCAATGTTGTCTCTCAATTTGCCACAATAGGCTTAAAGTTCACTACATAGAGTAGTTCTGGTGGTTTGGAAGGTTTTCAAGGTTCAAAAGCTCTTTAAATTAAATATTGGTCTTATCCCTTTAAAAAAAAAAACCTTCCTTTTCTGGAACAGGCCACTATAGAGGTATTTTTCAAAGTTGTTTACTTGCTTTGCCTTTTAAAAAACACATATAAAAATCAGACTTTGACAGATTGAATAACAATTGTAAGTAACAGACTGTTGGACAGAAGGCAACACGTAATTGCCATAATGCCAAAGTAAAATGGCTTCCTTTAGACAAAAAGGCCAGCTTTGGGTTAATTTGTTTCTTTTAATATATTGCTACAGTTCAGGCGGCTACTTTATCTGCTAAACACTATGCTAGTGCAATCGTTAAAATGGTGATGGCTTTGAATTCAGCCCCTAACTAGACTTCTGGTGCAACACATGGCTTTTATAAAATCACTGGATTACCTTGATATCAAAGGAGTCAGGATCCCTTTTTGGTGACTTTACAGGCACAAACGAACGTTATTATATTTTCGAGAGTTTGACCACAGAGCCCTCCTTTATTATTATTTAAAAAAAAAAAGGAAGGAGAACGATTTTTTTTAAAGGCATCCATTGGCCGGTGGGTATTTCACGGCCAATTTCAGCACTAAACACGTGATCTTGCCTTTTATAACAAAGTTTTGTTGGGGGAAATCTAAAGGCCCTTCATAAACCTTATATGCTTATAAAACAGCATATAAAAATTTAACAGCGGTGGTGCGCTAGATTTCAAACTCCCTTTCATAAAGCGCTTGGGCGCTGCCTTTATACGTACTGGAGCTGCTGGATTTCTCCTCATTGTTGCCGGAAGATGACTCCGGGCTGCTGCTCTCTGTCCTCCTCCGCCTCTCCTTCTCCTCTGCTGCTGCTGCTGCCGCCGCCTCTCTGCTGCAGCCGCCTTCCGAACTTGAAGTTGCAGTAGCTGTCGGAGGCATTTTCTCGCCATTCTTGTCTCCCGAATAGTCCGCTGAGGACAGGTTTTCCGTGGTGCCATACGCCGTCTCGAAAAACTGGTCGAAAGCCTGGGGCAGGACCCCGTTCCTCCCCACCGTGCTATAGAAATTGGACGAGACGTTGGTGGTGGGGTGGTAGACGTTTGCTGTGTTTTTGCCGAACATCTCGCCCATGCTAGCCGTGTTGGTGGCAGGCAGGCAGTCTCTGTGCATGATCTCCTCTGCTGAGTAGCAGTGGGGTAGATTGTTCCTGGGGTGCCATTTACTGGAGGGGTCAATGGCATACTCCCTGAAGGTAACTTCTCTCACAGGTTGGACCTGGGGTAGGTTGGAAGAGTAGGAGTATGTCATAGGGCGAGAAGACGGGGTCTGGGGCAAAAAAGAAGGGAGGCTGGAGAAATCAGGACCCGAGACGTAGTAAGTACAACTTGGCAAATACATGTTAGAGGAACAAGGAACACGCTCATCAAAATCCATCATTAGGCTACCTCGGGTTCTCCGCATTAGCTGAGCTTAACATGATTCTCTAATGCAGCTGCCTCTTTGAAGCAGATCCGTGAAGTAAGAAATTTGGAGACGTAAGCTGACGTGGAAATCTATCCCCATCCTTAGCAGGGAGGTGCTGGTCATGTGACCAAATGTTGAAATTGACAAGCTGCAAGTATGGGCCCTTTTTTCTTTGTAGCCATCTCAAGGGAAGCAACAGATCGTCACTTTGGTATTCTCACCAAAAGCACGTAATCTAAAATATAACTCATGCTTGCCTTGTGTACCCTTAGAGGACAAAAAGACGCATGACACTTTTTCCTACTTATCAGTTTGACCAATTGCACCAGGTCGCTGTGGAATAGAAAGAATTAGCAATTCCCACATGTTAGGTGAGATCTTTTTTTATTTGTATACAGTATTTGCAAAAAAATCAAGAGAAATTAAATGATTGTTTTTTCCTGCGATCTGATTTCTAGCATTGAATGCTCCCAAAGCAATCGGTCGGTATATTTTGGTTTGTGCAGAAGATAGTCGCCCTGCAGGGTTTTGCTTGGAAGAATGTGCCAGGGTCAAGTCTGTACTGATTTTCATGGTGAATAGATTACATGCTTGCATTCATTTTCACTTCCGAAGCGCTTAGTGTCTTCCTTTCCTTTTTAACATATTAACCTCAAATACCCTGTCCGATTTTATCCAAGTTTTGCTAGAGATATTTAATAACATTTTATTCCCATCATGAAGGTTCTCTTTTTGCTTTTTCTCCAAAGCGTTGCCTTCTTTATTTGCAATGTTAGGAAGTCCTTTAAATTCCAGACCACTGCGTAAAGAGGGCATCTGATCTCTTTGCCTAAACAGTGCTGCTAAAGACCTGGGAAACCAAAAGATGTTGGGCTATTCCGATTTCACAAATATTCTATGTTTAATTGCCAGAAGCCTTGTTAAAAATATTTTTATATCCTATTACCCCGTAGAAACAAACTTCCAGAACCCAGATACTTTTATTTTTTCTTCAGACCATCGCTGGACGTTGAGATCTAGATAGACCTATTTTAAAAACGTAGTGAAGCTTTTACTAGTGTTGCATGAAAGGGATGATGTGGAAAGCGGATTGTACAGGGCAGAGACTAAAAAGTGTGTCTCTGCCAACAAAAATGCACATCCCATAGAATGATCTTTGCCAAAGAAAACAGAGAAATAAGCCAGCACCTTTTGAGGCATGAACAACCTTAAGCTGTTGGGAAAAAAAAACGTTTTTCCTATCGATATCAGAAAAGAAATATTCAGGTTCTGGCTCATTTTAATCAAAACAGTAAAACAGAATTACACTAAGGCCACAAACGACTATGGTGAAGTTGGTGTAATTAAGAAATTGGAAATATTTCACCATCTCTGTTCCTTTAGACCTGGGCGAGCAATGGAAGGAAAACTAAAAATATTAAAATAACAACATTTTGAATTTTTCTACGTCCACAATGTAGTGAAAGTATTTATATATCAGGGGAAAGTTCTATTGTAAATTTTGGAGATCTTCGGTATTTAAATGTCAACATCGATTTGTTTATTTATTGCTTAGCTTATCGTAACTGACTTAATAACAAATCTTATCATGTTGTGCACTGACTAAATATTCCCATTATGTATTTTCGCTAAATTATAGTTAACTATTACATTTGAATTCAAGCTGTAAATATCAACATTATCAAGTAATTACTTTGTAGTGGAGTAAACTAATTTATTAGCATTAATGTTTATATGCCTTTTTTATTTTACAAGGGTTACGAATCACAAATCAAATGCTCTGGACATATCCCTTTAATGAACTCTTTATTTTGGTGTGCTGCAAGAACTTTTATGCTCCCTCAGTGTTTGTGAGCTGAACTTGAAATTATTAATTAATCTTCAAGCTTGACATATTTGCCAGAAAGTGGATGGAAGTAAGAGATATGCATGTCATCAAAGTGCTACCTGAAGACTCCATTGTCGTTTGGGGATTGTAAAAATGTTTTTAAGCCGCAGAAGAACTCTGCAGCATCCATGCTTAGACTTCTTCCTTAATTCTACACTTTTGCCTTTATTTAGTTTCCTCTTTAGGCTTTTTTTTTTTAAGACTCTTTTGCTCTCTGAGTACAGTTCATCTCCCTCCTCCCTCCCTTTCAATTCTCAATATTAAAATCTATTTCCCCCTTCCAGACAAAAGGAATGTATAAAGGATTTCAGCGACTTTGAGATAACAAAGGCGCCACCATTGCAGAGGTTCGCCCCGCCTCTGTGTGATGGCAAACAAATTCTTGCACTTGTATTAGGGCTTTTAAGGCTATAATTGAACACGGCGCGTCTAGGAGAACCGAAAACAGTTCTAGACTGACCTGCGGTTTTATAGCACTTTTGGCAGTCAACTTCAGCTTGTGTGAGAACAGACATGACAGAGCTGACCAACGGTTAATCGGGAGACACCACCTACTTGGAATCGCTGCAGTCCCCTCTTAATTAAATAAATTTCAAACCTTGGGGATAGAACGGGCTGCAGTTCTGAAAAAAGGTTTGTATGTGGCTATTTCCTGCTCGTATTTACATTCAATTTCTGTCGTACAGTTAAAGGCTCTGACTTGCTGTTTTCATGTATGCCTATTTGAAACAAAGGGAAATCATGATGGGATGAAGGCAAGAACGCAATTAATAATGCAAGTCCAGCTAACATTATATTAAAGGACACTGCACAGCCTATGCGGAATATACATGCTTAGTTTTGATGGTTTGCTATGTATTTTCCCAGAGAAGTAGGGTACTTAGTCTGTTAGAACATGCTTTAACACAAGAGAAAACAAAATGCCTCCTGACAAATGATTACATCTGTAGAACAATTAGAAACGATTATTGAAAACATTTAAGGTTGCAGCTAGTGTAAGAATAAGCAGACACCCAAGGCGGAGTTAGTTCTCTGCTTTATTTGCTGCTAAGTGAAACAGACATAAAGTTCGCTACCCGGAATGTCTGGGTAATTGCAGTAAGACTGCTCTTATGTTGCTGTTTTAAACACAATTATACTGTTTATTATTTTGTCTAATTTTGAATTGCTCTTTTAATACAGTCATTGGGACTTCCGCGTTTAGAAAGCAAATAGCACCGTGCATTGCCCCTGCTAACCTCAGTGAGAACAGCAAAAACAAAAGAAGGCATTTCATTTTGAGAAGCAAAATGCATTCAGTCCTCTTTTACAACTATTTCGTCTGGCTGAGGAAGGGCAATGTGTATAATCATGTTATGTGCTTTGCAACTGCGCTGCATGACATTCTAGATACATTTTACAATGGACGCAAATATCTCTAATAGGTGAATACACTTTATGAGCAGATTGGGCCATGTCTACCTATACAAAGCGAAGAAAAATTAATCCATACTTTGGAGCGATATAAACAAAGCTAGGATGTCACGTCCAGAGTTTGTATATATCTGGTGTGCGGAAGGAACTTCTAAAAACAATATAGGGTATCTTTAAAAGGTCAAGTTCTATAATGTGTAAAATCTTGCCATTTTGTATTATATTTGTGGGAGTTTTCGTAAAAACAAATCGCACTATAATTTATATTAAATATTAGGGTGAATACCTGTGTTTCACAGTAGAAGTGTATACTAAGTGTAATTTATATGCAAAACGAGTTAACTAAAATATTACACCTTTATTGATTTTTTAAAATTAGCATATTTTCAATAAGCATGCTTTTTGATAGAATTTTGATGTCTCCAAAATTATGAACTAATTAATTGTTACAGCATATGGGTATTTATGCTTTTCTTTCTATATACATGCAGTTATTATAGTAGGGCAATATTAGGAAATACACAACATATTTTGGCCAACGAAAACCTCATAACTTCTTTCTTTCTAATGAAAAATGCCTATAAGGTCGCAACACTTTGAAAAAAATTGTCTTAAATGTAATTGTTTAAATTTCCTGACGATTGTTTGGATTAAACATTATTTAAGACTTACTAGTTCTCTACTCAGCTATTTTTCTCTTTTCCTTTTTGACCACTATACTACTGAGCTATACGGTAATAACCAAAATATAGTTTTTCACCTAAACACATTTCTTTAACATTTTAAGAAAAAAAATGGTAACAATATTTTGATAATGGATTTCAAACACTAATACCTCTGCTATTACAGCTAGTAGGGATTTATCAAAAGAGCAAGATGCATTTCCAAAATTATGATATGGAATAGTCTCTTTATTATTCAAAACCAGGCACTACGTAATTGTAGTCATATTATGGAGGTGCAAATTTATATATAAAGAGAAAGCAAATGTAAATACAAAATTGAGTCACAGTTCAACTGAAGTCTTGGTATATTTAACGGCCTTAAATTAATTCTGACGAATAAGCTTTTTAAAACAATTTTACTTACCAAATTGGAGATTGTACATGATTTTATTAGCATTGAAAATGTTGTATGTTAAAGTTACAATGTTTGGAAAAATGATTTTCCTTTATCGTGGTCTCTTTTAATACTTAAATAAGACTTATGACGATATGAATAAAGCTACACGATTTTAGCATTTAACAAGAATATCTCATATTCACTTAGAATGATGCTCGATATCGAATAGCTGTTACTGAAAGTAAGGCAACATTCCGATAATTGTAACAAATATAAACACAGAGGTGTTTCTCTTTTTAACAAGGAATTTATTCTGCTAAATAGAATAATCTCTTTCAAATTTTATTTTCCTGTTCTTTTTAACCAAAATATTAGATATTATTTATAACATACCACAAGCACCGTTTTAAGTGCTGAGTCTTTCTCTCATTATTCTGTTTCCGAAAACGTGTTTTTCTGGAAAGCGTCGAGACCCAGAGTATACATTTGCCTACAGTGTCATGGTATTTTTGTGTACCATCTGTAAGAGAATCGAGGCAGGGTCAAAAATAAGGTGGGCATAAGGAGGTGTTATATTGGACGTCTAGGTGTTTCTGAAATTGTTTGACTGTCGATGGTGCCATAAATATCTTCCTTTCTCTACTTGATTGTGCAGCTATATTTTTCCAATACATGAAAATATACAATAACTAATTTATTTCCATGTATCCACATACAGGTGCAAGAGACTTCTGACAAATGTGGGCTGCAGGGGATGGGTGTCTAAACCAGTTGCTCTAAAGTGTCTGCGAAAGCAAAATTCTTCGCTTGTTATCCTTTGATATAGAAAGCCAGACACTTTTAACTGAGTTCCACCCATATTCATCTCCACAGATGACTAGGATAATTAACGTCACCTGTAGTAAATAGGTTCCAATCACCTTTCATGCAGATGTATTTTATGTGGAATTAATCATTAATCTTCAAGAGTTATTTCAAGAAACCTAGTTATAAAACAATAAGACTATACCTCTATCCTTACATAAAATGTACAGACTCGTGATCTCCTGGTGCAAAGTCCACAGAGATTTGACCCACAACCATTTGCTTACACAATTGATGCGCCGTCTGGGAACTGCGATGCTGTTTATCTGAACAACAGAAACAACCCCGCCAGAACATTCCAATGCCCACATATATTTAGAAGTATTGCTACAGGTGATGCCTTGAACTTGACCTTAGGTATGTTAATCAATGAAATACATGCTGGGAGAAAAATCTGATTGTATTGCTTCCTACAGAAGGTTATTTTGTTATATTGGAATTCAGGGTTACAACAACGAAGTTCAATTCCTGTGGTATATATAATATGCTCTTAATGTTAAGATTTTAAAGTTATAGGCAATAAAATGTCGCTAAGGCGAGACAAACTCTTTTTATTTTGGTTATTCCTGGGGGCTGAGATCCGCATTTCACTGCGCATCCTAAAAAAAAAGTCGATCAGCTAAATCCGATTGTGTAATACTCAGTGTTTTCGCTAATGCATGTTGAATTTTAACAGCGATAGATGAGGGGTTTTAAAAAAATATTTTGTCCACTCACCAAAAAAAAAAAAAAAAAAAAATCAGATTCTACTATGCCACCCTGCTAACTGTATAGGAGAGCCCTACTCAAGAATTGTGAAACACACCGACCTAAAGACATTTCTTCAAGGATTGTTTCAGGGGGCGGGTACAGGAAGTATCATTATACTAAGCCTGTCAAACCGACGACTTCGAACATTAACATATTCTGATGGACTCTAAGAACTATATTATAATAAAGGTAACCTGTACTTATGTAACTTTTAAAATCTTATATTTGTAAAACACAAGTTGTAGATTGTAAAATGTAACAGCTTTACCACACACGTTTTATATTGTTCTGTAAGGTCTTCTTCCTTTTGTGTACTGTATTTTAGCTATGCAAATAAAATACAAGGGTGCTTATACAAATATTTTCCCCACAAATCCTAATATGTCCATCATATTGTCAATTTCCTTTTCCTGGCCCATGTCTAGCAATGGTTCAAACATCAATGTAGATATAAATGAAACTATTTAGCAACACAACAATACATTTTATACCATGCACGTATGTAAACTTCTCAAATTCCAACAAAACAAGCAGAGCTGAGATGTGGATCTCTAGTCGTTCCCTTTTTCCTGTTTTTCCTGTTTATTCAATGTGCTATTTTTATTTTGTTAAAGCTGTTTATATTTAGACATATGCCAACCATTAGCTACGGCTGAAAGCAATCCAAGCCTTCTTTGTATTAAGAACTATTCATTTTTATGTCTACCCAGCGGCATCCCGAAGGTTAAGAACAGACTGGCCTAAAATACTGTGCCTTCCGATTATTTTTAACCGAGGCTGGGTAGAGCGGCGAATTTCTGATATACTAAACAAATCAAACTATGCTTGGGGAGTTTGAATCAAGGTGATTAAAATTAACTTCGGATTCATTTAAATTTAAATGATTAAAATCCTGTGGAAATTTGTTTTCGGATATTCCACATATGGCCAAAACAGGCAGGTTAAATAACCATCCTAAGGGAGCATTAAGGAAATTCGTCCATGGATGGCTTTATTCTTGTAGGTTTTTCCCGTCTCCTTAATTCTCTTGCAAGATTAAATAATAACAAAAAGAGGCAAACAATGAGAAAAAATTACTCGGAAAGAAACTCAACCGATTCTTTTTCAATTACATTTGAGCAAACTCTTAGAGAAACAGACAAATACAAATCCAATTATCCAGCACCGTCACTACATGCACCCTCTAATTTTGGGTTTGACACTCCCAGCACCTTTCATCTTTCTTTAATGCTAAAACCCTTTTGTTGTTTCCACCTATGTTGTGCTCCGTAGCATCTTTTGGCAAGTTGAAGCCTTGCCCCCAAGCGACCATCAGAATTAATACTTTTATAAATGGCTTGGTCGTCACCATTAGCCGCACTCATTCCCCCAAACTTCTGACGCAAAATCTGTACTTCTTTTTATATCATGGGAGAGAGCTAGATTGGAAGGTTAAGCAGGGGAAGAGGAGGAGGAGTGGGCTGAAAAACCGCCGCAAAGGCCTTCCAAATGACATTGCTTTACAAATCACCGGTCCCACACTGTTTTGAATTCAACATCAGCAGCAGGGAGAGGGAAACCATTGAGCAAGATCGAGGAAAAACATTTAAATCTTACCCCAGTGTCCGAAATCTTCTTCCCTTGTGCAAACATCAAAAACCGGAGACTAATAGCTAGGATCCCGCGCCTCGCTTGATGGCACTCCAGACACCCACTCAGTAGTGGCTTTCCTATCCATACAATACACCTGGTCCACAAAAGTATTTCTTCTAGAACCTAAAGGTTTTTTATCGCACCCAGGCACGCAAAGAAACTGAGCCGCTAAGGTGCATAAGCTTTCTCACAGACTTCAGCCTAGCCTACTTGGAAAATGCATCATGCTAAGCATTTCTTTTCTCAGTCCTGCTAAAATTTCCGACTGAAATTCTAATACAATAAGGTAATTGCAGTAGGCTAACTGCAGTATAATTCCGTGTATTCCCATCGCCCTAGAAGAAAAGTCCAAGAGTTTTTGATCACTGGACAAACTGACGTTCCCTCTCCAATACACGGTGGGTCACAGTACAGTAATGACCGTGGATTGTGCGTTGTAGGACTTGACCTTTTACTACGTAGAGGAGGGCGCTTTCTTTCACGCTGCAGGAGGAGAGGGGGGAAGGGAAGATGCTCTCTTAGGGGATCTTTAATCAGAAATCAGATCTAGGAGCGGCAAAGACCATTGCATTTCAGCACGCCATATTTTCACTGGGGCGTTTTCGCAGAGCGTTAATGAACATTTGCATTTCGTAGCTGCAGTTAATGAGCCAAATCCCTACAAAGGGGGCAATTAGCAAGGAAAGAATAGGAGGCTTCCAAGAAAATAAGCAACAATAGGCTAAAACACCCAAGCCAATCCCACATTTTGCGGGAACTGTCCCGTCAGAAAATAATTGTAATGTCAGCAGTCAACATGGTCCGTAGTTTATTTGAGAACAAGTATAATTTGGGAAAGGAAACGACTATCCCTCATATTTTTTCTGCTCTTCAACCACAAGAAAATCTTTAAGGACATCTCTTCAAATCATCATTTTAAGTTCATTTTAAGTTAATTTAAAAGTTCCGAATGACAACAAACCGCCTTTTTATAGCATATCTTTTTCGTATTAAGCACTGTTTTTATTTCATTGCTAACGCTGCCTACACAGGCACTGAAATGTGTATTTTACTTAAGACAGCAACATTTTGTAAACTTAAATTTATAGTTTGGAGGTCTAGATACTTACCGTTTGTTCAGACATGAAAAATATAAAGTCATTTCCATAGAAGCGTGACATAATTCTATATCCCATTCATTACAATTTTAAGCACCACACTTGGTTTCTTTCGAAATGATTTCTTAGAAATCTAGTAATTTTAAACGGAAGTATTTTTAAGAAAGAGGAAAGAGACATAATTTTGCCGTTAAACTAATCCCTTTTAGGAAATATGCTGCTGTCAAGTTTTATTTCCCGTTGCAAACCACCTTTGTTGCTGCCAGGAGTTAAAGGCGGAGATAGATTAAATACCATCTTATTCTCTTGCTGTGGAAAAAATACAAAACATTTGTTTTACTCTTCCGTCCTCATCAAATATCATAAAACATTTCTAGTCTATGGGAATTCTAAATCCAATGTTCTAAGGACGTCAGATATTAGAAGATTATAAATCAACATATTCAGACACTTGGAATTAAGGTTTATGTTGCTGAATCCTGCAAGAATTGCAAAATATGAGGCTGCGCTAATCTTTTTATCTTTAATTATGTTTTTCATTTTGCACCGAGACAGAAATATTACCTTGACATTACTGTTGCCATAAATGCTCTAAATATAAAACATTAGCTTGCCTTCATTTTTTTCTATATACAACATTTTCCAGGGATCTGGGGGAAAAAGTTAAAACCTCTAGGTGTCTTTTATTTGTTCTGATTTTAAAATAAATAAAATAATAATAATAAATAATAAACAATACATCAATAACAACAACAACCCTCCCAGGCTATTTTGGGTTATTTTAAATGTATGCAAATAAAATGCTGAAAGTGTATACCACTATCAAACATTACAGATACAATGACTCCCCCCCCCCATTTGAATATATTCCTGGTAGTGTTGAGAATATAAATAATGTTTTTCTCAGACCCATGTGCATGGGAGTACTTTGTGAAGTAGTGTATCGCGTTTGTTAATTATTTTCGTTGGTGATGTATTTATCTATAAAACACATATTACGGACATATTTTATAACGTTGGCGTCAGATTGCTGAGACGGGAATATCTAATACAACAGCAATTTGTATTTGAAAATGTAAATGCCAACAGCTTTTGGATGGTAAATTAAGGTAATAAATAACATACACCCACGCACATGCATATATAGGTGTGTTTATGTATACACAAGAAGACTAGATAGATAGATAGATAGATAGATAGATATCCGAAATTAAAGCGGTCATATGTTTCACAATTAAAAAGAAGAAAACTTAATCAGTGAAGTGTCTTAAAATCATGCCATTAATCTATTCCTCTTCATGTTTGCTAACAGATTATTCGATATTAAGTAAAGTACAGCGAATTTCCCTTTCCCTACATTTCATAGCGCGGTCAATTTTAAAGAATTCTTCAATTAATAAATCAGTAAGCACAGCTAATTCTTAATTTGTTATTAAATCAGTTGACGCATTGATAAGTAAAACAATTACCAACGGATGAAGCTAAATCCGTACGTGAGGTCAGTTATTGGCCCAATTCTGCATCCCCCTACGTAAGTAAATAATTTTACTCGAGTGAATAATCCCAGCAAGATCAATAGAACTCACCTGACTAAAGCTATTAACTTTCCCATGTATGTTTTGTACAGTCGAAGCCTAAATCAGGAGGTGGTTTGCCGGACAGTTAATGGGGGACGTAATGTGCCTTAAAAAAGAAGAACAAGGAGTCCGGTGGCACCGTAAAGACTAACAGATTTATTTGTGCATAAACTTTCGTGGGTAAAAAACCTCATCTCTTCAGATGATACGTTTGCGCCACAGCTCAGAGCTTACTGTGATAACAATTCTTAATAAGGCCCGAACCTTCCATTTTTAGGTGTTGGTGTATTCCCATTAACTGAATAAGACTAGACGAGAGCTAGACCCTGGTTTGAATTATTGTTATACGTCTGCGCCGTGGGCCTAATCCCACTCCTGCTGAAGTCAGTGGGATTTTTCTATACTTAAACGGAAGCAGGAGAGGAACCTTTATTTGTTAGGAAAGAGGACCTTATCCTATTTCCTTTGAAGTCAATGGGAACTTGCAATGCATTTCAATGAGAGCAAGGTCAGGTCCAAAATGTTATGTTGCTCCTTGTAAGCATCACAATTGAAATTGCACACTTTTTACACTATAAAATACGTACACTGTAAAAATATATAGACACCAGTGGAAATTTAAATCCAGTAACCCAGTTTCAGCACGGGGATTTAGCTGATAGGTAGTCTATCTGAACAAAATTTTCATTCATTAGTTCTGATAAAGAGTTACTAGAAATGGTTTTAAAGTGATTTTATTAAACCTATTCACATTTTTAAACAATTACTCTTGGGTATTATGTAACTGCTATTGCTTTTGGAAGAGTTTGCTAAACTATTTGTTAGTATAATATATTTAAGTGCAAATTATATGCAACTTGAATTGTGCAATACAAATATAAATTACGTGTAAATTATATGTAATTTGAAGTATGTTATATACATACAGAGTACGTACGAGTGTAAATGCGTGTGTTTGTATCTGTATTTCTTCAGTCAAACTAACGATTATAAATAACGAAACCGAGAAAATGTGCAGACACATTTTGCGTCTATGCCAATATACATATATTCTGGATTCGACAAATTCAGTATCTAAGCTAACACTTTTGATCACCGAAAATATATATGAATGTAGTAAATAAACGCTAACTATATATATAGTGCATAATGCATGTATATACATATATGCACACATACTTATATACATATAATTTACTAGATATATATATATATATAATTACCGTTTATTTACTACATTCATATATATTTTCGGTGATCAAAAGTGTTAGACACTGAAACTGTCGAATTCAGAATTGTAACTAATTCCAGAATATAGTGAATTACATTTCCTTTCACTACATCTTAGAATGCTACAAAAACAAATTAAAAACTATGTATCAACTAAGCTTTCGAGTAAGATTCTGCTCTCAGCTACACCAGTGAAAAGCTAAAGAGCTCCTGTGAAGGTGAATGGCATTACTCCGGAAATACTCTGGTGTAACTGAGCAGAACTGGGCTTTCAGATGTTCCCCTGCAAAATGCAATGGTATGCCATTCTGATTACTCTCTTTCTTTCTTCAGTATAGAAGCATACGCATTCCACGGTTTATTAGGAAAATGTATAGAGTATCATTCGATTGATGCATCAGTAGATGTTTGTTCTCTCCTACCCCCGGTCCCCATCAATAGACGCCCTCTCCTGCAGTTCTTATTCAGGCAAAACTCACATGGACATCAATAGGACTGCAGAATATCTCCCTAAGAGCCCAATGCAACAAGATGCTGAGCTCGCCTAACTCCCTTTTAGTCCAGTCAGCGTTAAGGGCCCACAGCCCGTCTCAGAAGATGATTAGAATTTTGCACAATCCGAATCTGTGCTTCCGAACGAATGGATTACAACAGCAGTATAAGTGTCCGAGACCTTTAATAATTCCGCTTAAGCAAATTATAAATGAACCTCTTTGATACTTTGTAATGACAGGTTCTTCTTTTCGGCCTGTTCTCCCCACCCTTAGCGACAGAACACTTTCACTTCATTTCTTATGTAGTTATTTAAAAAAAAAGAAGAAGTCAATATAAGACGTTGTAATTGAAATACTGTTTGATTTTATTCTCAATGATTTTCTTAGCAGTCCAGAGAAATGTAGTTTAACATATTTTTACTGAGTGTGACGTAACAGTGGCTGACTTTTGAAGAGATACAAGTGACCGTAGTAAATGTTAATTTTGTTACTGGATTGTTGGGTGATTTAACCTTATACCATTTCAAAAATACAAAAATTCACTCCCCTAACACACTAGAGGAACCTGCGAGAAAAAACAAAATAAAATCCTGCACGTTTTCTACACAAGTTTGCGTTCTTAGAAAGTCAGCTGGTATTCTGAAATATCAAAACGTATTAAGTGAAATCTCTCAGACACAAGAAGTTCCTGGAAAAAAGACATTTCTGCCCTGTATACTTATCCAAGGTTTGCGTTAAATCAGACTTGTAGAGCTAAGCTCCAGAAAGGCCTCTATTTTGACCTATAAAGAGGTAGATTCCTTTGAATTTCTGAACTGTAATCCTAGAAGTCTATAGTTAGCACGGTATAGGATACTTTTATTTGCCGTAAAGGTTTCCCAATAATTCTAATTAGGATAGCAGACCACCTTAGGAGACAGGAAAAAAAGTTATTGAAGACCATTTCTTTGAATATCACAAGTCTTGTCAACTGGCAAAGACATACACAAGAATCAAAGGCTGGTATGCAGCTTCTTAATAGAAATTATGGCCTTCTAGACTCAGATTAGATGAAAACAGATTTTTACGACGGTTCAGTCTATAATATAGCTCGATAAATATAGATATGAAGTAAAATATCAGATACAACATTATATGTTCTACTTTCTTTCTTACTATATATGTGTGTCCCATCTGGACAAAAAAGAGGTAAGGCATGTAAAATAAGAGCCAGGTGACCAGTGTTCGTTCCACTGGAGCTCTCTCGCTACAAAGACGAGTTGGAAACGCGAGGTGGCGCCCTTGATCTACTAATCCTAGAGACGACTATTCATGAGCTGTCAAAAGTCAAGGTCACAAATTGTCTTTTTTCGTCAAGGTCAAGGTTTAAGGCCTTCCTAGTCCTGTCACTTCAACAAATACCAAAACCTTCCCGCGTAGACATATCCAGTCCTAGCAATAAACCTTAAATACTGCCATCTCTGCATTTGTGGGTCTTCTAACAACTGTTTTTCATTTTCATTCAGGGGCTCCGGCACTACACTGATGTCATTCCTCCCCCCACCCCCATTCAAAATACCTGACTCTTTAACCTGACTGAAACATTTATAGTTTAGTAAAGCTAGTTATCAAGAGTCCCCACCCCAGCTAAATAATTTACAGGAAAATATATGAACTATTTAAGTGATCGAAGAGAACGTTTTTACAAGATAGATACATTATTTTTCACGGAATGCACGTAAATATGGAAAAATAAAGAGTATTTCTTTCAGGTTTTGTTACAGTGACTATTTTATTAACAGTATTAATACTACTAGATCTATCTACACGTCTTGAATTTTCATTTTCAATAGAAATGTAAAAAATAAGGGTGCACAAATACATTTTCACAGTGCGCTGATTTTTTTTATTATTATTTACAAGATAGCATCTTATAGTGAATAAAAACAAAAATAATGTGCTGGTTGAAATAACTGTTTGGATTTAAAAGGTGCGGTAAAATGAATCCCTCAACTTCTTAATGTTGCCTCAGAACAGACAATAAACAAGGTAAATGACTAATTACTTATAGATCAAAATATAGAACATAGAAATCAAAATATTTCTGGGAACACAACATGTATTTCTCAGTTTGGAGTTCTCTGATATTTTTTTCCCAGAAAGGACTTTTTTATTATAATAAAATGCCAACATTCACGTATTTGTATCCACCCAAGAGTTAAACGTTTTACAATTTACTGGGGTTTACCTATTTAACAATTATTGAAGACCATTTGAGGTGTAATATGTGTAGAGTTCTTTTAGAAAATATCTGTCAGACTGTTTGCAGGAAACAGCTCGAATGCTAAAAAAATCAGCTATTGAAAAATAACTCAAAGAAAGCTATTTCCAAACAAGTATTAGCCTTTCTATCCCCAATAGTTTGCATTGTTTTTCATTTGCTCCACAGAGCTTCCGTCATTACTGATGCCTCTGAAATCCTTATTCAGTACCTTCTTTTCAAACATAAAATGCATTTCTTAAACATACAGTAATTGTATATTTTCACTATGATTTACCTGAGCAGTAATTCAACATTTGGATTGCAATGGAAGAAAAAATATGTTTACATCGAACTTTATATTTGAACCAGCTTTCAGATTATAACCATTAATAGTGTTCTAGAATACTAAGGTCACAGAAATACTTACAAGATTCTCAGTAAAACGTGTATCTTAATTGAAACTGAGCATTTGAGAGGTGGGCATTTGGGCTCTATAGTTTATCATTTAAACTGTCTGGTCTGGATTTCGGGGGAACAGTCAGTCTTAACCATTTCCTACAGTAATATTTTTTAAAATGCTATAATTCCAAAGATACAGATCTCTTGTTATGAAATAAGAGGTTCATTGTCTTTTTTAATTATTATTATTTATTTTAATCTGGACAAAAATAGTTCTGAAACCTGTGAACTGCTGCTTCTCCATTTTAATCCATTAACTGGTAGTCTTCAATTTGTTGATAACTTTTTTCTCTTTGACCCTCCTGTTTTGGAACCAGATTGTGACCTGTCTCTCTGACAGATTTGTAGTTGCCGATATCCGTCTTCGTTTGTCCTTGGTAATGAATTTATTTGTAGCATATTCCCTTTCGAGTTCTTTTAATTGAACCTTTGTATAAGGCACTCGTTTCTTTCTCCCACGTCTGTACGAGCTCGCATCTGAGGGATGCGAAACGACGTCTGGAACAGAAAAACCATGTATGTAGGCATTATAAAATTATTAATGATTAGGACATCTTCAAATTGCACAGAGGTTAAATCTACAGCGAACTTTAACTCTACCATGCTCAACAGGCTGGGCCACTAAGCGACCGTTAATGAGATGAGATTTCTTTTCTATAGTAAACAGCACTCAACTGCAAAAGTCTTGATTCTCTCTCTCTCACACACACACACACATACACATGTCCTGAAGGGACGTTAGGAAAAATTATACACTGTTTCAATAATTTATGAAGTGTGCAAGCTGCACTATTTATGGAACATTCTTGTTAAGCGTGAATGCATAATACCTTTTTTTTAGCAGGCTTTTCCAGCTATTTCCCTTTTTAATGCCATTAGTAATTCAAGCAGGCATATCTTGAATTCTGGAGCAAAGTCACTCCTGATCATATTAATACCACCAGAACTAGTATAAGTATATGTGTGTGAGGGGATGGGGGAAGAGGGGTCAGTTTTAAAGTTAGCTTGAATGTTTAAAAAACTATAGCACAACCACCAAACACAAAGCAGCAGCAGCAGCAGCAAAAACAACAGCAAGCGCACAATACTACTACTAACTAGTTCTAAGGTTAATAGTGGCGACAGTAAAAAGATTGCAGGAGGACACAAGCCATGCAGGTGCATTACCCGGGAGAGTGGATTTCCAGAGGTGGGGTGGCTGGGTTTGATCTTTGGGGCAGTACATTTGCCCATTCCACCCACTGGTGATTGCCCAAGGCTGATAACTCTCCATGGGGAGTAAGGGCTCATGCCTGGGCTCTCCAGGACCTCCAATTGTGGGCACCACAGGCATATCCAAATAACTCGGCACGGGTTGGTAGGGGCCAGCGGCATAGCCCTGATAGAAAGCCAGTTCCTTAGCCCGGGAAGTGAACTCTTCGCCCGAGACCGAGGTGTCCATATATTTGTCCGCAAAAGTGGAGCCGGGCTGCGCGCAGGACTTGATGCCGTTGTGATGGGTCATGCGGCAGGGGTAGTAGCCGCTGCCAAAGTAGCCATAGGGCAGGGCGGCCCCGGAGGAGCTCTGCACGGCCGCCGAGCAGGGGCTGCACTGTTTGACAGCTGGCTCAGCCATGCCAGAGGCTGGCGCTTCGCTCGACGTGTAGGCAGCCGTGCTGGGGGCGGCCAGGGATGCGGGATGAGCCATCAGATTCCGGCACTGGTTGGCCGCCGCCGCTGCCGCAAAGTTGCTGCCTGCATGAAAACCTTCCATGTTCTTATTGATCTCCTCCAGGCTGTTGTCGTAGAGGAACATGACGGGCTCGATCCAGCGGGGATGGAGGAGCACGGAGGCTGTCATAGCCCGATCAGCATTGAGACTAGTGGCTCTTTTTTAAAAGCCCCAAAGACTGAAAAAAGAGATACTAAATCTCCGAGACTTGACCAGAGCTGACGCGCCAGTGTCGCGCCAGGCGAGAGCCCATTGGCCCGACCGGCCCCACGTGATATGCAAAGCAGCTGATAAACATCTGAGGAATAAAATGAAGATAATTAAATAATGTAATAATCGTGCAGGGGCTGGAATTCCAGCAGCGGGCGGCACAGATCCGGGGCTGCCCCTTTCCACTCACAAATGTGCACGATCAGGGGGGAATAAAAGGCTTGCAAAGAAGAACAGGTATCCTCCCACCCCCCAGGCGTGATTTTCCCCTAGTCCATTCTGTGAAATAATTTCAGTATGATCTCCATGCTATTTCCAATATCACTGAAATTCAAAGCCCTCTAAATTTCAACTATTTGCCGATCAGTCCGCTGGTGGGTTTTTGTTTTTAATCTTTCAGTTCCACATCTTAAATTCATACAGGTGTGGTCTAACCTGACGGTGACATAATATTGGTTTCTAAATCTTTAAAAGAAAATGTTTTAAGGGCCACACTCTCCTTTGCAATAGCATCAGAATAGATACACTATTTGAAGACAAGTCTGATGTCACACATTTTATTCCTGCCCGTTTAAACTCGATCACACTGTTGTTGTTGTTGTTGTTGTTGTTGTTTATAATTAATTTCGATTTTCTTTTCGGGGGGAAAAGCATCAGAAGTAGGATTAGAATAAATAGATCAAGAAATACAGATCTGCATCATGGGTTTTGTGAGAGAAAGGGTTAACCAAATCTTAGTATTAACCTGAGTATATTATTTCCTATTCTGATGATAAAACCTGGGGCCTACAATTCTAATTGAATCTTCTCTGACTGCAAGATATTACCGAGGATTATAGATTGTGCATTACTGGCCACAATCCTCTTTTTGTTGGAAAAAAGTTGCTATGCTAAAGCTTATTTTTGTCGTGCCAATGTTAAAAGTAAGTAATGCTTAGAAAATGAATTGCGCTTTCTTTTTAATGAAAAACACTTTATTTTCTAACAAAATTTTGTACTGTGTATGCACATAGCTATACAGTAAATATTAATATATAAACCCTTTTAGTCGGACTGTTATTCAGTAAGTGAGTGAACTATAAATATACAGTTGAATTAAATATAATGCAGCAATTTCAAAATAATATGTTTCGAATTTACGTATATGGACAAAAATAACAAAGATGCTCATAGATTGAAAACTAAATTTTTAGCTGCATGTTTCATTGTTGCATGCCTGATAGCGCGATCTATTATTAGCTATTGTGCTAACCATTGACGTTGCTGCATTGTTTTCAATGCTTTGCTACAAGCATAGCGTTATAAAATATGCATTGTTTTGGGGCTGCCTTTTCCTTGAACAATGCAAAGAACAGATCTGCTAGCTAGTTTAACTATCACTTTGGTGATTATCTATTTTCAAAGGCCGACACAGAGTGGTATGTATTGGGTGCATGGAATGGGACTGTTGTCGTTTGTCTGGTTATTTAACAATATTTAAGCGATTTCTATCAATTGTAGCCAATAAATAGTTCCCATTTTATTCCGTAAGATCTTTTCCGCATTCCTTTTGATGACCAAATGCAAATATTTATTCCCCAGCATTTTTTCCCTTTCATTCAGGCTACAGCTTTGAAACCTGTGGAGTCCCAAAAATTGCTTAGCTGACATTATTTGTGTAGATTTGTTTCCCCTGATTTCTTTATCTCATTCTTAAAAACGCATTGCAACGAGAGGAAAAAATAATAAAACACGGTACTGTTTTACATACGGGTTAGACACGGCTAGAGGCCAAGGTCAAGTTGAAAGTTGTAGTCTAGCCAATGTGAGAACTGTCATTCAAAGCTTGAAGACCCTGTCTGATTTGTTAAAAAGGAGCAGCCATGAGAACACTAATCTCCCTAGCTAGCGTCTCACTTCCCCCCGTCTTCTTCTTTCGCTCAATTTTAAAGCTTTTCCCGCCTATCTGCCTCTGGTTTTCAAGTCTCTTTCTACAGTTATAGAGAAGCCATTTGAAATTGTAGCTTTGAGACATGATGCAAACTGTACAAGAAGGGTGGGGGCATCCGGTATGCTGTTTTTGTTTACCCACTTGGCGTTGTTCCAACTCTCTGTGCAAAGGGGAGAAGGGAGATTAAATTAAAATGATCACACACACACACAAATTGTAGGCTGGAAATGTGGGCATGCATATCATGGCTGATAAGCCCAATGATATAATTGCACCCATCTTTTATTTGCAATGACACGGATGAAAGTCATATTTAATAATACCCTCCCCTTTTCTTCTCAAAATCCTCAAAATAGCACCTTAATTGTATATGCTCAATCAAAAAATATTCACGGGCTAAAAAGGAACTTTCCTGTTTGTTCTGGTTACCTAATTGTTTTGCTAACACTCAGGTTTATCGGGGTATTGACATTGAGAAAGGAGGACGATGTCAGCAATTTCCAGCTATATTTTAAAGAATTTGCATTCTCATCCTATATGAATAGAATTCCTTTATGTTTTAATGAGTACCTGCAACTAAACAGTAAAACTATAAATTGTTCAGTCTGAAGGCTGTGAGATATCGAGCAGAACAAATGGTATTTGAAAATAGTGGACTTTGTAATGAACACTGGGTATAATAATATGTTTGAATTTATTTCCAAGCTTATATATAAACTATTCTCTAATGCTAACTGAATACCTTTTGGTGTCCCAAAACAACATATTTGGATGTATCAACTGATTCCACCAAAAATATTAAATTATTACCTTAATCAGTTGATTTGACCATCCTCTACAACAAACATTGGAAACGTAATATGGTCATTTACATGCACCTATATATTCAACGGAAGGACTAATCAAAAGCTTCTACTAACTATTGTCCCTTTAACATCAGGCAAAGTCAGAAATATACTAACAAGAGGTAAAGTATCAGTATTCTCCTGAAATTTGATGGCGAACCTCCACAGTGCTTTATAATTTTGGAAATAAATTAATCTGCTAAGAAGTTTCCTCTGAAATGAGTATTAATTCTACGGGGGGCACAAGGGTGAGCACTATAGTCACTAATAGCATTTTATAATGCGCTGAACTTTTTCAATCCCATACAGTTTTTATTGATCAGAAATTTTATCCATCTAGTGAACAGATGCATTGCCTCATCTCTATAGGCAACAGTATTCTATTTCAGCTGTGCCGAATACTCATTGAAGATCTAGTCTTCTCTCGGTTACACCGGGGTAAATCGGGATTGACGCCACCAACTCGCAGATGTAAATTAAAGCGGAATTTGCCCCTTGTCACTAGCCAGAGCCACATCCTATATTGCTCATACAGACAAGACTTTCACTGAAGCCAATGAGTTTTGCCTGAGTAAAGACTGCAGGATTTTGGCCTTACACCAAAAATTATTAATAAACTGTAAATATGCTACTAAAATGGAAATATGGTAACTTTTAAAAAATTCTCACAGCGTCTCTTGAAGTCACACACAGTACCTTCAACTAAAGGTCATGTTTTGCAAACAGGGAATTTATAGGCACAGAATTCCTAGAAACCAAATGGAAAAGAGCTTCCTTAGAAGAGTTCCTTTGTGTGGTAGCACATAGACATCAACAGTGCCGCAGGTACGGCCACTTACAAATACTTTTATTTCTTATTACATAATAAAATCCAGAGAATCGCTCCACAAACAATCTGAAACTATACGCATTAAACGGAAATCCAATATTATTTCCCACCCTTTTAATAGAGCTAATTAATAATCTTAAGGGAAAACGTGTGGGTGTTAACCCAAAAATATCGGTTAGTCACAGTTAAATCCTTCTAAACAAGCTAAAAGAACTTGGTGGGTATAGGATGATGTTAGTAACTAATAATTGTCTCAGTCTTTAAGAGACCAGAAGTCTTGGAAGACACAAGGGTAAAATGATAGTAGGAGCAGATCTTTAATCGAATTTGATTTTCATGAGCAAATGAAATTTACCTGCCATAACATTAATTTGGAGGAGGGCTGTCAACGCTGGCTGCTTCCATAATTTCTTCGCATTCAGTATTAAGATAAACATTGCTCAGTTAGTTTTAAAGACACTTTGTATTTCAGGATATTCATGTGTTTCTAATGTAACTAAGCAGCTTTACGAGCAGCATTTGCAGGACATCTTAACTCTCTCCCTCCCACTGCGTGCTGGGGGTTCTGAGATAATTGCAAAATAAGAAGAATTGTAAAAAGAACATGCAAAGGGGGGAATAAAACTTCCTGAAAAAAATGTTAAGGCATTAACAAATATAGGTACATTTCTCTTCAATATGAATATGATAAAACTCCCTCGGAATGCATTACATATTTGTATATAGCTATCAATCCATTCATGCTTAAAACTACCGTCTCAGATAAATAAGGTGCATTCAAAACTAGGGAACAGTTTTCTTTCATCCACAATGTTGGACATTGTTTCATGTCTAATATTTATTAACGTAAGTGATCAGAATCATACTCTTTCGCTGATTTCTCTGAAGGAATATTAGAAAATATGCTGGAAATATTATTCAAAGAGAGGCTAGGGGGACCCAGCAGTTTTTGTTCGTGTGAATGCCATGTTCCTTATTGTCACTTTCTCATTTTTCTGTAATTTTTTCATGCACCGTAGCTCCAGAGAGATCCGGATTATTTTTTGTTTATATTTGGTGGATTACACCAACAGAAATCTTTTGATAGTAATGGAAAACATTTTATTAATCTGTAGTGTAAAATACATTGATAAACAGAAACATACGTTTGAAAGCTTTCCATAAGCAGTAGTTCGGACTGATGGTATGCAATGATAAAGTCCCACCTACAGTTTCAATTAATTTTGCCTTGCCATGTAAACTAAGACAGATTCCTCCATAACCTGTTCAGCCCGTTTCCACAAGGAAAACAATGAACTTTTTTTTTAAAGTAAATCATGATAAAGATGCCAGACTGTGTAGTGTGAAAGTGGAAAGTAGATTTATCTGACCAATTACATCTTTCTGTTAA